CCCTATAAAAGAAGGCTTAATGTTTAGGATTTAAACACACCTCTCATTTGCCTTCTCATCTGTTTAAGGCATTTGTATCTTCTCTCTTTAGTATTATTTCACTTGTATTTTTGGAGTGGAATAAAATATTGGTTGTGTCCGAGGAGTAGGCAAAATTAGCCGAACCTCGTAAATTCTGGTGTTCCTTTTATTGTTGCTTTATTGTCTTATTTATTATTTGGTGGCTGTCATAATTTTTGGTATAGTAGTTGTGACTTATTCACACTATATACATTTGACTTCCGCAACATTAAATGCTAAGATATTTGATTGCTCATCGCTATCATAGCAAATCTACTTTTCTGTAAGTTGTTGTGCTTCTGCTAAAAATAACATTACATTTATCGGTGTTCCTGTACTCTATAAGAGACATACTATATGGTATTGAATTAATAATCCCAAATAGAGTGGAATGGATATAGAGCATTCATAAATTGACCCCCATTAGTTGTGTATTGAGTCATCTTTGAGTGACTGATTAGTTATCTTTTCTAGAATGTAGAAATAGCTTGTTGCTTTATAGTTGGTTTAAAGAATTTACTTTATCCAATTTCAGATGTTGAGTTGTCAAATAACAGACAGAAAAGAATTCTTTTGACTTGCCTCCCTTTGTTCTTTAGGTTTTCTTGGTGCTTTTGCCATGCTCAGTTTGTCATTCGGCGACAAGTTACAACTTGCATCTGCTTTGTTGTGCCTAATGGGTGGTAGTGCTGCGCAGGCAGTAGCAGATGTTACTATTGATGCATGTGTCACAGAGAACAGTATAAGCCATCCTTCTCTTGCCAGTGACATGCAAAGCTTGTGTGGAGTAAGCTCTTCAGTGGGGCAACTGATTGGGTACACTCTCAGTGGCTTTTTGGTTCATCTAATTGGATCTAAGGTTTGGTATCGCTGGCTTAATTCGATCATTATCGATGGAATATTGCTTCTGTTTTAATTTGCATTTTGCTAATTGGCTAATCATTTATCAAGACTGATTGTTCTTGATTTGTTTAATGAATCTTGACAAATGCTTTTTCCTGTTAGATGAAACTACTGTATATTATTCAGATATATTGGTTTGTTAATATCCATAAGTGTTTATGGCTTCATTAATCTTTTTGTTGGCTTAACCTACTCTAGCTTACGTCTAGAATGAACATAATGATGTTGTCACGAGTAACCTGAATTACTTGTCATTGCCTCTTGTCACTTGATATTTCCTTGTCTCCTGATAAATATTATCTGGTAGGGAGTGTTCGGAGTTTTAAGCATTCCAGCTGCGCTGGTAATTTTGGTAGGAATGATGCTGCACGAACCGTTTATACACAATGTTGCATACAGGCAGGTATATTGGAACCTCATATTGCCCTGTGCTCAGCTTAGGACAGTTCTTGATCTTTTTATATTTGTATTGTGAAATTATGTTTCTGCAAACAGGTAGGTCAAAAGTTCTTGGATGCTTGTAAGGCTATGTGGATGGCACTGAAATGCGAGAATGTGTGGAGGCCATGTCTATACATGTACATTTCCCTTGCATTGAGTTTGCATATTCACGAGGGAATGTTTTACTGGTATACAGATGCAAAGGATGGCCCATTGTTCTCAAAGGTACTTGAACTTTTATCCATTCAAATCTTGTTTGTCGACAACTTTGTGATTCAAGATCTTACCTCTTGCTCATGACTTTGCATATTCCTTATTTTTCTTCTTATGGAGTTGGAAAATAACATCTTAATCACAGAGTATCAATCCATTTTCGACATTTATGCAGGAGATTGTAGGTACAATATCCTCTGTTGGTGCAGTAGGCTATCTTCTCGGAGTTCTCCTCTACCAGAATTCTTTTAAAAACCATCCTTTTCGTTTCGTACTTTTTTGGTCTCAGCTATTATATGGCGCTTCAGGACTGCTGGATTTGATATTGATATCACGAGTAAACCTGCAGTTTGGAATCCCTGATTATGTTGTTGCTGTATGCGATGCAGCAATTTCTCATATGATCGGGCGTCTCAGATGGATGCCTCTTCTAGTACTCAGTTCAAAGCTTTGCCCTTCTGGCATTGAAGGAACTTTCTTCGCTTTGCTAATGTCAATTGATCATGTTGGTAGTCTCACAGCATCTTGGGCTGGAGGCCTTTTACTTCACACCTTGAATGTCACAAGGACTCAATTTGACAACCTTTGGATAGCAGTAGTTATCCGGAGCATTTCGAGGGTCCTTCCAATTGGCCTTCTATTTTTGGTGCCAAGCAGTGATCCCACTGCTTCTATTCTACCAACTGAGATGTTGAATAGGAAAAAGGGCGACGATAACTTGGGCGCTCAAAAGCTGGAGATGACTCCACTAGTAACCAATGTCGATCAACATTTAGTGGATTCATAAGTGCAATAGTAGGGAAAGTAAACTCCACCATTCTGGTGTGCAAATGTGTTTTGTCTCTCCTACAAGAAATATGGATCTACTAGCTTTCTGGTAAAGAAGTTAGAGCACACTGAACAAAGTTATTTACCTGGTATGGCTCAACTTGATGTTAACCATTTGTATTTTGTACCATTCTAGCAAATGAGTCTATCGGAAACAGCCTCTCCGCCCGTCCAGGGGAGGGGCAAGGCTGCGCAAATCTCACTCTCCCCAGACCCAACTTGTGGGAATACACTGGGTCGTTGTTGTTGTTGTTGTTACCATTCTAGCAAATGACCTTGTAAATTTGTTTTTATGAAGTAGTACTTGTGAATCCAGCTCAAGAATTGAAACATGCTACTGTGGTTGGCTCTGGTATTGTTGTGATTTCGAGGATAAAAAGGAATCATTTTCTTGGCTCTGTCATTTTTCTTTCCTGCCACAACCTACGGACCACAGGCTCGGTTGTCGAGACATTCTATCGGGGGCCTGATGCCTGTTTTTATATGCTTGTAAAGAATATGCTAATTTGTATTCTTTCCTATAAAACTTTTGATTTTGATAAGATGATTAAGCATCAGTATTTTCTGACTCACCTAAAGCAAAATTCACTTATCATCTTCTCTTTGTACATACAACTTAGTAGTGTTGTTATTATAGAGAAAAACAATTGAGGTTCCTCTCTTGTAGTCAATATGCTGTTTTCACATTTTATGAAAGGATTGAACTGTTACATAAGTTTAAGGGATATTTTACATAACAATAACTACCAACCATAATATCTGTATCTTCCTCCATATATAAAGCTCCAATAGTTATCTCTGTCTAGCAAAATACTAAAGATATTATCGCCAACGAGTCATTATTGGCCTTAGATATTTTCTGTCAATCTACATGAAACTGCAGGTTTCTTTTGCAAATCCAACTTGTGACTGCTTTGTGTCATATATGACCCTAGTGTTTCTCTGCTGAAAATTTCCAATAATTCCAGTCTCATCTTCATATTGTAGGCTTGCCAAAGCCAAACATACCTGAGATGCATCACTCTTCACAAAATAGAAAACACCAGCAACATCCACTTCCATCTCAGCACCGCCGTCAAAATATATTTTAATGGTTGGAATGTTCACTTCTTCATATGCAGAGAGGTCAAAACAAGTGTCAAGAATTGAATAACCTTGTGCAAAAGGGTATCCTGAAAATTGTTTCAAGAACTCAGCTTTAACAGCTTTGTAAATGGAAGGAGGAAGCCTTGTAATAACTGTGCCAGAATCAATGAGAAATCCACTTTGGCCAAAACTTGAATCTTGAACAACAACTCCACCTATAGTCATCCCAGTTAGATTGAGAAAATAGAAGCTAAAAAGCTGTGGATTTGGAACCATTTTAGTGTAAGAGATTGGTGTAGAGTTCTTGAAAACTGAAGCATCACCACCAAATACTAGTGAACCAGAGGACTCTGCGTCAGTTGAAGGCAAACAATACGAGAAAACGCCACCAAACACATTAGAAGTTTGAGATATTAAGGAAAGATCACTCCTTCCAAGTCCCATAAGACCTGAAGCTAAACCAAACAGACCTCTATTATTCCTACCACAGCCAAAAACAAAATTGTCAACTGAACTATTTCCAAGAACCAAATGCTCCTGGCCAAGTTCACCCTTAGTGTATGATCCATCTCCATAACTTACAAGGTAATTACAAGCTTGTGAATTAGTACCACATAATCCTGAATTCCCGGTTGCAGATACAAGAGATTGACAGGCTGATGAATTACATACAACTGATCGATAAGAAGATGAAAATGAGGGGTTGAAAAGAGGTTCTGGTTGATTGTAACACAATCTACAAGGTTGGCATTGAACCCAAGTAAGATCACTTCCTGTGTCTACAATTACTGTCATATTTCGACCGCCTAATGTCACTGTGACAATGTAATTTAGAGTCTGCATTGTGACACCTGAAGTGATAGGAATTCGGGTGGTCTGTGATAAAGTTTCAACTTGTTGAGAACTAATGTTCTTGATATGTGATTGCATTGACCGAACTCGAATATCATCAGCTACTAATTGTTTCTTCAGCCTTCCATTCAAGTCATCTCTTGATCTAGAGCAGTAATCTTTGTGCTTCATTTCTAATATTGTTGCCCCATTTTCACTTCCTGGAAAACCACAGATGACGACAATTAACAACACGTACTGGTCATATAGTCAGAGACGGATTCAGGATTTTTGAAGGATTTATACCTTCAAGATTGAAGGTAATTCTTAACACTGAACTCATTACAGTACTTTGAATTTAAGAGTTCCTAATTTAATATTGAATGAAATTCTAGTAGGTTTTCACATATATATAAATAGCCTACATCAACCTCTGCACATACTGCTTTTAGGATATAGGGATTAGAGAAGCAATAATTGTGTTAATTAGATGACTTAAAGCATGAAAAGTGGCTGAATATATGATAGCAGATCCCAAGAAAGAGTTTGATAACATTGATATGAGAAAAGCTAAACAACCACTAATATACACTACAGTATATGATATAAAAAATGATTAGCTCAAGCTACAATGTCTTTGTTTTTTATGTGCACAAACTCACTTGATTTTTGAGATGAACAACTTGGTCCATAATGGCTGTGTTGTATCCTTTGAAGTGTTTTGAGTGGGAGAAGTAGTTCATTATCTGCATGACCAAATGCTCCATTTCCAGAAGAAGTGAAGAATAGTACAAAAAGCAGAAGACAAAGAATGGAATATTGGCAAAGTGACATTGTTTTTTTAAAGTTCTACAATTGCAGCTTTTGAAGATGAACTCAACAAAGGTTTAAAAACATAGAAGGAGGAGGAGGAGAAGAGAGTAGAGCTAAGCTAAGACTAAGAGAATGAGATTCTTAGGAGTTGGACAGTAGGCAAGAGAACAAAAGGAAAGTGGCTGGCAAAAAGAGGACCCCACAAATGCATGAGAAATTATTGGGATTTCACGTGCAGATACTTGGGAAAAATAAAGTGATTTTTGTAAATTGTTTGTGGAGACAATGGACTTAGCTTTCATTGAGCTTGTCGTTCAGAAATTACATTTTATTGGTTGTCCTAAGACTTCCATGGATAAGGACTCTCCCCCTCCACGAACAAGAGTCGTAGTAGGGTGTAAGATCTCCTTCATCTTTAACTAGAGGGTTCAAGTTCGAGCTCTGGGCATAAAATCGTCTTTGTTAGGATTGCATTTTGTTCCTCAATATGGAACTTCCTGGCGCGAATTCGAATTTAGTCGAACTCTAAAAAAAGACTCTTCCTCCGGGGAATCAACTGTCCCAACCCACAAACTTACCAAACGTACAGTACTGCACAGAAACAATACAAGGCTAACTTAGCTTTGTTTTGGATGATTTTTGGGTGGACACAATGTTGGGGCTCGTGTCCTTTCCCATTTTCCATTAGGATTTATAATGAATCATTATACTATCAATGTAATTTAAACATGTTATGTATCAAGTAAGTACTAATATTCAATTACTTTTTAAATACTCAATATTATTGTACAAATATTTTCTACACCACCAGTATATCTTTCTCTTAATGCCCAAAATGTAGAGTACTTATAGTCTTTGGGTACGTTCTTCCGAGGTTTTCCTCCTATGTATAGGTAAAATTGCTAGTCAAACTTTTCTATGTATTGTTACCAAAGATAAAGCCAATCCATTTCTCCCTTCCCCCCCCCCCCCCC